CTGTATGTGTGTATATATATCTCCTCAATGTTTCACTCTATATGCATCCGAAGAAGTGGGTTGTAGCCCACGAAAGCTTATGCTCTAATAAATGTGTTAGTCTCTAAGGTGCCACAAGTACTCCTGTTCTTTTTACACAGGAGACTGAAAACCTGGACCATGGCTCTGTTACAATCACTAACTGCAGAGAATAAGAATTGGAGGTAAGTTTATTCTTCCCATTGTGGTGACTTTCAACCTGCTAGCATCAAAAGTGACAGTACATTTCTTCCATGGAAACTTCAATTCCCTGTACTGCTGTTGAATTTTAATAAGCATAATTCTAGAAAAACGCACTTCAGCATTGAGATCAAAGGATAAAATTAATAAATGAGAAAATCAGGGCATTAAAATTGGGTCTTCAAAGAAAGCAGAAAATAGTCGATATAAAGCTTTAGCCGCCTTTTGTTCAATGCATTCTTGATTGCTCTTGCTTCTATTTGAATGAAAAGACCCGTGGCCTTGTAATCCTCAAAGCCAGACTTCAAGAAAGTGGAATTAACACACTTTCAGATTCCTCGGTCATTCCAAGAATTATTTTAGGGCTTAGAGCTGTAGTGATTACAGCTTTCATGAAGATCCATAAAAAGTGCCCCAGCACAAATGTTCTGTCTCCTACAAATAGCTAATGCTTAAGTATTCCAGTCCCGGCTGTGCTGTCAGCAACGCATCACACTGTCACTGCTTGTGCGGCAGCTTCTCAGTTCAGCCTGCTGCTGACGGGGAAAGCGCGTGTGATTTAACTGAGACAAATAGTTGTCTGACATGTTAATTAAAGATTGAAATTCAAACAAATTAAAGGGATCTTAATATTTCTCTGCTTGCCTTAGAGCCTGGCTTCACACGGAAAACCTTTCTACTTCAGGGTTCAACACATGTCTGTTTTAATGCTCATGTTCTCTGACTAGAAGGCATGAAATAGCAACCTGCCACATCCTTTATTAAAGGTCATTTTTCTATGAATTCGTTGATGCTTTGTAAAAATAACTTGTGACTTGAAACATATGATTGCTGGCTCCTGCCTTTCATGGGTTCCTATGGGGTTAATGGTGTCTGCAGCACAAATGCAGGTACTGATCGTTGTTAGCTCTGGACTCTTGGTTTTAGGAAGATTGTCTTTTGTATTCTTTGAACACAAAACACATTTCACATTTTAGTAAACTGCCAGACACTAAATATGGCTGTGATTTAAAAGGGATGAGACACTTGTGGTTCTGATCCAGCAAGCGTCAGGAGGGTATTAATAGCTTATAGCTGGGTGCAGCCTATGTGATCTTTGACAGGGAGAGTTTTCTTAATGTAGAATTCCACCCTTGAGCAAAATTCTTTTACAAAGACACACTTTCAATATAGGCACTGAAGATTCCCTGTATCTCACTATGTGAAAGCACTAATGATGTGGAACGACACTTTTCTCATACACTTAAGCTGCTGTAGAAAAACTACTCAGATAACTGTTTTCTAGGCGTTGTTACTATTACAAAGGTGGGAGTGTAGTCTGAAATCCACGGCTGTGAATTATCTGGAACTGTGTAGTTTAGATGCATCAGTGGGTTTCAGTATGATTTTCTTCATGTTTATTTGCATCTTTAATGTATAAGTTAACATTGGAAATGCTTCTGCCCAGCAGTGAAGTTGTTCTTCCATAGGTAGTTCTGATTATTTATTTTGAAGTATTGTTTTTAACAATTAACTCTTAATCTGTTTTCTTTTTGTATGGAGGAAAATTGGATTATGCAGTTAGGATGGTGATGTTTGCAGGTCTTTGTTGCTCTATTAAAAATAATCACTTCTCTGTCGTGAAATCCAAAATTATGACACGGCTTTGGAGGATTAAATTTTTATCAGTAAATGTTGATAAGCATTGATTTCAGCGCGCGCACACACACACACATGAAAATATTTCCATGAATAACCATTAAAATGTACAGATAGGCAAAGTCAGAAAAATGCTGGTTGAGAATTTGAGAGTTTGATGTAAGGATATTTATGCTCTATATTTTGATGCGATGTTAATAACTTGTGCTTTACAATTGGAAAGCTTTAACTTTTTGAATCTCCGCATCCCCCGTCATTAAATAATTGTCTGACAGGCCCTGTCCCCATATTGTTCTGCAACTGGGAAAAATGTTTTGAAATAAACATCCATTTAAAATAAATTTTTACAGATAATAAATAAAATGGAATTCTGCGATGCCTGATTTGTGATTAATGTGGGTTCATGATAGTGGTTTACGTGTTCCTGGGTTCCAAGGCCAGAAGGCACCATTGAGATCAGTTAGTCCAGTGGTTCTCAACCAGGGTCCGGGACCCTGGGGGGCCATAAGCAGGTTTCAGGGGATCCGCCAAGCAGGGCCAGTGTTGGACCCGCTGGGGCCCAGGGCAGAAAGCTGAAGCCCTACTGTATGGGGCTGAAGCCCGGGGCCCCGAGCCCTGCCACCTGGGACTGAAGTTGAAGCCTGAGCAACTTAGCTTTGTGGGGGCCCCGTGGCATGGGGCCCCAGGCAGTTGCCCTGCTTGCTACCCGCTAATGCCGATCCTGGCTTTTATATGCGGAAAACTAGTTGTTGTGGCACAGCGTTTTTATAGCATGTGTGTTGGGGGGGGGCTCAAAGAAAAAGGTTGAGAACCCCTGATTTAGTCTGGCCTCCTGTATAACACGGGCCAGAGACCTGCCCCACAATCGTTCCCAGAGCAGATCTTCTAGAAAAACATCCCATCTTGATTTACAACTTGCCGGTCATGGAGAATCCACCATCACCGTGGGTAAATTGTTCCAGCGGTTAATTACTCTCTTCTTGGAGGGGCCAGGTTAACCTTTTCCAAATGAGTAACTCTACAGGGCTCGTCTGTTTGTTGCAGTGTTTGCTATTTGTGATTCCTGCCCAGGGTATTGTGGTCTGTACCAAGTACTTGAGATCTATTTGGTCTAGTAAGAAAGTGAATGTCAGGCTTTGAACATGATGGCTACTGCTACTGCACCGGAGCTGGCTCTGCAGAGCTTGCCGGCGGCTTCTTGGGGCCTCCTTTCCCTTTTCCAATTACATCTGGTCCAACAGAGATGGGGCCCACAGCTGCAGTTAAACTCTTGAATCCCAGGCAGGGCAGAGGAGACTCATTCTCGCCTCTGTCCAGGACACTGCTCTCCCTGCAGTACCCATAGCTTTAGAGCAGCCCCTTGGCAAGCTGGGAGCAAGCTGTGTTGGTGGCAATATGGACATGTTAAAGGGCGTGTGCAGTAAAATGCACAGATCAGAATAGTTCCCCCGCAAACCGTCTTCGTACTCAGGCAGGAGAGGCTTTCGGTGTGAGATGAGTCTTTTCATTTCCAAAAACTCTTCCCCAATGTGCCCTTTCTTTTCACTGCGGTAGAGCTGACTGTTGTTGTCCATGTGCTACTGGAAGAGTCGAATTTAAAGACGGTCAGTTCTTTTAAATTAGGAAGAGCTGTGGCACACTGCTTGCTCCCACTGCCCACACTGCGAACGCTCAGGTGGCCCGGGGGTGCCCTTTGCAAGAAGCCTGGCCAGCGGTTCCGGTAAGACATGCGCTGTAATTGACAGTACTGGTTGCCCTAGTCAGACTTCTCTGGAGAGGTTTTTCCCCTCTAAAATGAATTTCTCAGAAGGACTTCAGGGGAGACTTTGACAGGCAGAAATGGGTGTCACGTGTCCAACTCTCATTGGCTTTCCAGGGGAACAAGGTGCCAAATTCCCATTTGAGCCTTAAAAGCTCTCCCTTTGAACGACTGCTGCATGGGGTTGATGTGCTCTATCCTCCTAGGAAGGAAATAGTGTAGCCATCCTGGTCTATCCCAGATTTCATCTCTTGAGTATAATGGCGGCCCTGATGGAAAACGGCAGCCATCAGTTTGGTCTGGGAATGTTCTGCAGTGTTATAGGCAGGGATGGGCTTTGTTTATTTGAGTACTTCAGTTGACGTTTCCTAGGTTAAAGAAATACTATCGTAATGCTGCTGCTTAGTAGTAATGCATGTAACCTGTAGACTGTATCTTGGCAGTGTGGCCCAATGAATAGAAACTGGACTGGGTTCTGGCCCTGGCTCCGCTGCTGTTGGGGGACCTGGGACAAGACACTGTCCTTCCCTGTGCCTCCATTTCCCCAGCTGTAAAATGGAGTTAATGATACGTGACCTCCTTTGTAGAGTGCTTGGAGAGCTCCTGATGGAAAGTGCTGTGTGAAAGCGAGGTGTTATAACATTAGGGGTGGTAAAGAGTCCTGTGGCACCTTATAGACTAACAGCAGTGTTGGAGCATGAGCTTTCATGGGTGGATACCCACTTCGTCGGATGCATGTAGTGGAAATTTCCAGAGGTGTTAACTCCTGGATTATACCCTGCTGAAACTGGACTAGCCCAGTAGAGACCCAGGCCCATTATTTATATCAGCGTTACTATTGTTCTGTGTAGTGTTGGTATGTTTATTTTTATTTTTTTTAGTAGTGATCCGACAAATAAAACAGACACATTGGCATCCATCCGACATAGCCGCCTAAATGCCTCTCTTTACATCTTTCTGTGATCATGAAGACCTCTCTCTGTTTCTGTGACTGCGTATGGGTGCTGCCATGTATCAAAATGACATTGGGAGTAATGGTGAACTCTGATACAACCAGACCCATTTGAAGTGCTGCTCATCAAAGTGCTGCATAGTTCCTGTGATCTAGTCGGCACTTATCTCCCCTCCAGTATTTTTATCGTCAGCTGGGCAGTAGGAGAAATCATTCATGCTGTGGGCTATCTTTACTTCATGCAAAATATTGATGACAGAGACCTGGGTCTGTTTCATGTCAGTTACCTAATAGAGAGAGAAGTTTGGAAGCCTTTAAACAGCTTGCTGTCTGCAGCAACGTTTTCGCCGGTGTTTAATGCTATACAGTTGTTCAATATATAGGTATCGTCAGTGGTCAGCCTAACACAATTATTTTCTCTCTTTGCTACAGAATTTCAAAGGCAAGAAAGCGTGAAGTCCCAGCAGAAAGGCATTCAGCTCTATGACACGCCCTATGAACCAGAAGGCAATGGTGTGGAGTCAGACACTGACAGCTTGGTGGGCCAGCGCTTGCGAGAGAGCAAGCTGCCACAGGATGACGACAGGCCCGCAGATGAATACGATCAGCCCTGGGAGTGGAACAAAGTCACAATCCCAGCCTTGGCAGGTAGGAATCCTGGATCTGGTCCACACCATTGTGTCTCCTGCATGTGCAGCACTCATGCCCAGAGTGAGGAGGGCTCAGTGCCCTGAATTTTGTCCATTTTTAAGGGCTTTTTAAAGAAAAGGTTAAGTCATTTTGAGATTTTTTTCCTTCCATCAGTATAAGAAACAATAGACACTTGTCAGCATTCCAGCGTAGATCTGGCAAAGAAACTCCACGATGGGTCCAGTCTCTGGTATACGAATCGTCTCAGATGCTCGAGGTGAATAACCCGTTGCACTTACTGCAGCACTGTGGAGCTGCTGAGAAGTATTGTTCCTTAAGATACACCTCAGATGGCTCCATAAAGCTAGCGACTTAGATGTGCATGGCAAGCGGAAAAGCTCACGCCTTCTCTAATACGTTGTGTTAAAACAACTTTTCAGTAGTTGTTACAGTGAATAAATGTGTTCATTTGAGTCAAGCCAATTGATGTGCACATGAGTAACTTGCATAGCTTGGTCTTAAATTCACCCCCTTGCACTATTCCATTAGCCCACCTCAAAACTCACCATTCGCGAAAACTTTGTATCCAGACAGTCACTTCTGTACGTCCATCTCCAGTGCTCCAGGCTTGATGTCCACCTAGAGCCAGTGGCGATATTCTGCTTCAGACAGGCAAACTGCCTCCGTCTCACCGCTCGCAGGGTGTGGGGTGGGCCAGAATGATGTTTTAATCCACTATTCTGAGGTCTCTTGAGCCTCCACATCCAAAAGGAAAGGTGGTAGAGGGTCTGAGTCAGGGAGCAATTAACGCTTGAAGATCTGACTCATTTAAGGAAGCTCTGACTGTTCTGGAGTAAGGTGAGTTTCCAGCACCTGTTTGAATACCGTAATACCGGCGATAGCGTTGCTAATTCTCTAGAATAATATATAGCCACAGAAATCCTATGTTTTCTGTTGAGATTAAATGGACACAGTGGAGCTGGACTAGGAATTGGGGGGCTGACAAGTTAGTGATTTTTTTCATGGCTGTACGTACTGTGGTGGGAATTATCAGGTGACTCTGTTACTTAGTCATTCATGTGTTTTCTTCATGCAGTCTTTGAATAAATGCTGTGTGTTTTGTGATGCTGTTTCTTTTGGGGAGAACTGTTGCAAACATGAAGAATTTCTGCTCTTTGCTTTAATCCCGCTAATTAGTGCCCATTCCTGAGGCAGAGCGGCTCCTTGAGGACTTGCCATTGGCGCTGGGGCTGAGATTTCTGAGAAGGGGGCTTGCCTGCTCGCTGTTTGTGACCACCTCTCTTTGAGAAGCGGGGTGAAAAAAAAACCTCTTCCCCATCAGTGACTTTTCCTCCAATGGGAAACGCTCCCGCAAAGCACCAATCTCTGCTCAGCAGAACGGCAACAATATTCTAGCTTAGGGTAGGAGTTGAAATATGCAGTGAGAAAACGATTGTTCTGCTATTTGACCAAGCTGACAGCAGAATATGGAGCAGGAGGAGATGATATTGAGCTAAATTTGTTAATACACCTCTACCTCGATATAACGCGACCCGATATAACACGAATTCGGATATAACGCAGTAAAGCAGCGCTCCGGGGGGGCGGGGCTGTGCACTCCGGCGGATCAAAGCAAGTTCGATATAATGCGGTTTCACCTATAACGCGGTAAGATTTTTTGGCTCCCGAGGACAGCGTTATATCTGGGTAGAGGTGTAGTTGCTTTAATGTATGAAAAGAGAGAACCACTTCTCGCACATCTCATACATAAACAAATAGGATTTTTTAAAGCAAAGGAGGCGCGAGAAGCATTTGTTCCCTCTTTGTGTGACTGTGTACAATTCGCCATTTTAGTCACGTGATCCTTGCATCAGCCATTTGGAAAGACTGGTTAGCAGATCAAACCCTAGTACGCGCACATGCGTCTCCGTCCTCTCATCCTTTCTAGAGGTGAAATTTCTCACTTAGCCCCGTGGTCATGACCTGTCCCAAAGGTTTTCTAAAATGGAACCGAAAATGCACCAAGAGACGTGGTGCTTCGCCCTATGGAGCATTTGAAATATTGGCATCTGGCGTATCTGTTTATCTGTGGAGGTGTCCCCCACAGCCAGGGTCTTTGAATCCTTCCATAGGATTCAGTGCATCACCACTGTGTAGCTTCTGCTCAGCCCTCGGGGTTGGGGGAGAGCTCCTGATGACTCTCTTCTTTTCAGGCCATCACGAAGTAGGCAGTGAATGAAGGAGATGGGCAGTGCGCTCACTGAGCTAACACAGGAGCTGCTTATCTTCACCGGCAAAGGACTTTCCCCTCGTTATTTCCCAGCCCAATATTGTCCAACCTGTCAAAGGCACTGCTGGCCCCCACTGGGGTTTTAAACCAGGACAAGCCTGAAGTTCAAAGAAGGGTTTTTGGATGGCCACTTGGAGTCCCCTTTATACGTGCCTGGAAAGAGCCTGTCGGGGGCCCTACAGACTGCCCGGCAGGTCAGTTTTTGTAAGTGTAGTTATGTGAGTTATGTACTCACAGGTCAGATTGCGCTAGGCACGGCAGTGGCAGGAGTGTAGGAGTGACAGCAGCTCTGCCAAACCAGAGACCACGATTGACTAGCGTACGCTGTGTGTCAGCTCTTTAAAGTGTAGTTTTTATCTGTATCGTGTATGATAGTCACGCTGGGATTGCGCTTCGGCTCTGCGCGCTCTCTTCCTAGAGCAGGTCTAGGAGCTGAAAAATGTAAACGTTAGTGTGGAAATGATTGTGACGGGTTGGATCACAGAAACCCCCTTGGGAGCTGCCACCCGATGTGCCAAGACTACCCCTGCTTCTGTTTTCCCTGCCAGCTCAGGACTCCAGCACCCCGTCTTGCTGAATTAGACACTCCAGTCCACTTCAGCACAGACCCAGGGTCTGAATTACTTGTCCCAAAGCTACAAGTTTACCCAAAAACAGCTCACAGGAGTGTGCTTGTCTTTAGCACTCAGATGCCCAACTCCCAATGGGGTCTAAACCCAGATAAATCCGTTTTACCCTGCATAAAGCTTATGCAGGGCAAACTCATAAATTGTTCGCCCTCTATAACACTGATAGAGAGATATGCACAGCTGTTTGCTCCCCCAAGTATTAATACATACTCTGAGTAAATTGCTAAATAAAAAGTGATTTTATTAAATACAGACAGTAGGATTTAAGTGGTTCCAAGTAGTAACAGACAGAACAAAGTAAGTCACAAGCAAAATAAAATAAAATGCGCAAATCTATGCCTAATCAAACTAAATACAGATAATCTCACCCTCAGAGATGCTTCAGTAAGTTTTTCTCAGACTGGACACCTTCCAGGCCTGGGCACAATTCTTTCCCCTGGTACAGCTTTTGTTCCAGCTTAGGTGTTATCTAGGGGCTTCTCCATGATGGCTCCTCTCCTTCTCTCTGTTCTCTTCCACCCCTTTATATATCTTTTGCATAAGGCGGGAATCCTTTGTCCCTCTGGGTTTCCACCCCCCCTCACTGGAAAAGCACCAGGTTAAAGATGGATTCCAGTTCAGGTGACATGATCACATGTCACTGCAAGACTTCATTACTCACTTGCCAGCACACACATATACAGGAAGACTCAAAGGTAAATACAGCCATCTGCAGACAATGGGAGTCATCAAGATTCCAAACCATCCTTAATGGCCCACACTCTACATAATTACAATAGGCCCTCAGAGTTATGTTTTATATTTCTAGTTTTAGATACAAGAGTGGTACATTGATACAAATCAGATTATCATACTCAGTAGATTATAAGCTTTGTAATGATACCTTACAAGAGACCTTTTGCATGAAGCATATCCCAGTTACATTATATCACTTATTACCGTATTTTCTCTAAATCTATCCCAGTTACATTATATTGATTTATTATTATATTTTTATAAAACCATGTAGACTGCACAACGTCACAATGATGACTTGCTCTCTGGCTCTGTTAACACTTAAACGTACAAGTAAGTTTGCATTCAGCTTCCCTCTTTTGTGAAACTGTTGCACACGTGTGAATGCAAACTCACATGCTCAAGCCTTGGTGTTACCAGGGTGCAAGCGTCTCCATTTTTATTTCATGTTTGAATAACACACCAGTGACCAAGGAAAACTTGATTCAGCTTCCCAAAACAAAATCCCCTCTGAGCTGGGAACAGTCCTGAGAGAGGGAAGACCAAAGAGTTCTACTTTGGGAAAGCTTTCGAAGAACCTAACAATGGGAGTTCATCAAGAAAGTTCCTTGTTAATCAGATGCGTTGCTAGAGTAACACTGTACTAAGGCTCCAAAATAAACCTGGTCTTTGTAAGGGAATCTTGGCTTTATACGAACTGCTTAGTAAGAATACGTCGATGTAGCTTTCCAAATTAAGGGCAATATTCTGCCAGCGCTCCGGGGGTTAATGCTTCTGACCAGTTGTAGCTCCATTAGCTTCAGTTGCGCAGTACGTGGCAATAGGTGCTTTCAGGATCTAAACCTATAATTGGCATTCTCTGCAATCTGTGCTATTTCTATCGCGTTGTGAGGCTGCTCAGCGGTACGCTTGGTATGCTGACTCGCTCCTTTTCTTTTGGCATGTTGTTCGTTTGGCGGCTGGGCAGGAGGGTGTTGGGTTTGTGAATAGTCTCTCCGGTAACCTTGACCATCAGTGTAATTCCCTGGCTGGCTAGGCGAGTGCAGTCACTTGTTTAAATTCCCAGGATGCCATAAAAGATTAGGAGCATTTGGCTTTTGGTGAGTATCAGCAACAGAGAGCAGATCCGAAGGGTCTGATTTCACAGAGCTGCCGCCTGCGCTGCTTGTGAAGTGAAATGACACCGCATCTCAATAGGAACAGAAGGATGTTGTGGGTTTAATCAGCCTTACGGGCCACCTTGGCTGCAGTCAGCAGGGGTCTTGCATGTCCGCCATTTCCACGTCCGTTCCTACCAGACTGTAAAACTCGCACTCCAGTCGAGGTAATGAACGGCACGATCTGTCCAGACTTGCATCACCAGG